GAAGCTATTCACTTTTAGATAAAAGTGAATCTGACATAAATCAGATTCACTTTTAAATAACTACCTAAAACTACCTAAAAGATTCACTTTTAGGTAGTTGCCAAGATTAATTTGGAAATCTTGGCAACTGTTTTGAAACTTCAAAACAGTTACCAGGGCTCACACCCTGGCGCTAACATGCGTCCTGAATGGGGGTCAGATTGTGTCCACACATTGCTAAATAGAGGTGTGAACACACACACACACACACACACACACACACACACACACACAACACAGGTGGCCTTGAATAACTGTGTCTGAATTACTTTGGGAATCTGTCTGTCTGTCCTGGCAACACATTAAATGACAACCGACTGACACGACTCTGTTCATGCTGCAGTTACCTGTTATCTCAACATGAAAAAGAAAAACAAAAACGTATCGAGATCAAACTCAGCTGCATTCTCAGGTGAGGCGATTAAACCGACATCAGGAACACTGTGCGGCTCTAGGACTTGTTTTCGGATGGAAGTCTAACTTGTCAGAATCCCATTCAATAAAAACATAAACATTCTCTCACACAGAGGGAGTTTATTGACCAGCGGCTCTCAGCTATGCAGTTTGATCATTTTTGGCGCTGATTGAAACCTGCCGCTTTCATTACACTTTAAAAATGTATCGACATGTGGAAGGTGCATCTACACAGCACGGTGTGCACAAACCAACAATCAAAACATCCCTCTTACTGTTTTAAGGGTTAAATTCTCACAGTGCTGATGCAGAGCGGCTTAAAGCGCCGCATTATTTATTTTCCACTTCCTCTCTCTCTCTGTTAAGCTAGGCAGACATACTCACAAGGACTTTGTACCTGGAATAACAAATGCGGACGAATCTTTGCCATGTTGAAGACTGAAGAACTGGAGCTCTAGTGGCTGAATGTACTGGTGATGTCACAGAATCGTCAGCAGATCAGATTGTTGCTCAGCTGACGGTCCACTGTGTGAAGTGGCTTCATCACTGTTTGCATGTAATGTGGTTTCAAAGTATTCTGTCTGCCATAAAAGTGTTCAAGTTTTCAAGGCAGATTTAGCAGCCATGGCCTTGGATGTTAGAGTTGGGTAAAAACTATTACATTTTGTTATAACTAAGTAAATTGTTTTTTTGTTTGTTTGGTTTTTTTTTTCTAGAAATTAAGTTTTGTATCATGTTATAATGTTATTCGCTCACCAAAAGTATACCTGGAGTGTGGTTTGGATTCTTTCATACATATTTCAGTAATCCTTGAATCTCCCATGGCAACCCATTCAGGGAGACTGAAGCTCCTCGTCTGGAGCTCATCTCCACTTTGCTCCTCCAGACTGGAGGCGGCAGCAGTTAGAAAACGCCTGGTGCAACTGTGAGTCTGCTACGTTGGACCTCACAGTCGCTCCTAAGAACGACCGGATCACGGAAAGGTGTTGTTGTGACAACGTATCGGAAAGAGTCGGCGCTTCTTAAAGAGACGGAACCCCAGTTTCAACGAGTCAAACTACAAAGTCAGATTTATTTTAAGTTACATTTGATTTGCTGTATTTTTGCAACGACTGATGGTAACATGGTTACTTGATTGCGCTAAAAATAAATAATTGGCACTTTGTGCCAGGAAAATGCATATTACCGCCCCTTTAGAGCAGAACACACACCCTGGTCATTTCAGAGTGTTAACCTGCCTGACTTTATGTGACATAAATTCCTGCTCCTCCCTGACTGCTGCTCCCTCCTCTGCTCCCGTATTCCCTCTCTTCCCTCTTCAGCCCTGTCACCTCCTCCCACCCGGCGCCACCTTTTGACCGGGCTGCTCTCCTCTCCTCTGGCCTTCTGCTCTTCACATCGGATTATCGCCACGCTCTGCAGACAAGCCCTCGCCGTGTAACCCTGTAGCATCTGCATCGGGGCCTTTTTCTCTCCCCACACTGTTTCCAATGCTCACACCAGCTGTGGCACATATATAATTAACTTTAAGCTAAGAGGGTTTTATTAGTATCACCCACCCTATTTATATTTTAAGTTGTGCAAAAAAAAAAAAAAATCTTGGCTGAATTTTTTCAGGTCATTTCAGCAGCACAAGTAATATGTTTAAAGGTAAGATATCTAAAGCTGTTACAGATAACTATGACATTTATAATGGACGCTCATTGGTGATTTCTCAGTAAAGTTTTAGGGGAGGCCACACAAATCACACTTAGAGAAAATTCCTTTATCGGATTTTTTTTCTTTTGACCAGCAGTACCGTTACTGAAGGCCGTCTCCACACAGGATGACACAGCAGATAAATGCCAACCTAATTACGTCTTGTTTGGGCCACATCAGCCCTTTTTTTCCTTGTGAACCGGCAATCGAATGCGACGCCTGAAACGTCTTTAAACAATAAGAGCACGTCAGGCTATTTGTGCCTCTTTGGCGAGACAGCTAGTTATCAACGAACGGGAAAATCAACCAGCTTTCTCGGCTCACTCGTTTGTAAGCTGGCTAGTGTTTCTTTTAATGATGCTCAGCTACAAAATACAAAACCAATAAATTTACACTTGATTAATGACGGCGTTTCTTACTGACTTCATAGAGCAACGGGATGCAGTTGGTCAAGTCCACGTAAATTTTATAAATGATTTATTTTTTACATATTTGTTAAACCTGTACAAGACAGTACAGTATGAAACTGATAATCTGTTAAAGAAAAAAAAAATCAAGCTATTCTTCCTCCTCCATGTGGTCCTACTGCCATCTGCAGAAAAACACAGCTCAGTCAGAAACAACCAATCAGAACCTGGAGGAGGGTCTTAGTGCTGTCAATCACACTCTGCCAACTGCGGTACAGCTAGTCCCCTACAGTGGAGGACGGCGGATTAACAATTTCCCTGCAACAGTGAGTTGTTTCTCTGTCATTGGCAGTGCGTACACAAGTGTGACTGACAGCGCCAAGACCCTCCTCCTGGCTCTGATTGGCTGTTCTCTCCAGATTGCAGTAGCAGCACCAGGAAGAGGTGGAGGAGCTCAACGACACAGTGACAGTTTTACCGATATGTAAAATAATTGTTTATAGAAGTTACATTCTGCAGCTTTAAATGTCTCCAAAATGTGTATTTAATTGTCAGTATTTTGTGGAAATCACTTTGACATTAAACAGGTTATTTTTGATGGGTTTTTTTTTTCTTCCCCTCAATAGCCAACTTTTGTTAATCCTGATTTGTAGACACACACAAAAAAAGGTTAAACATCCAAGGGGTGAAAACTTTTTATAGACTTTATAAGCAGTTGAGAAGTCAATTCTACCTCAAGTTAAGGAAATGTCTGCTAATTACTGAATTTGAACAAAATAATAATAAAAAAAACTAATCTAACTGAACTACAACAGGAGAGGTTTTATCAACAGTATGTTCGTGTTATACAATTCAAATCAAACGTTATATCTTTCTAGACAGTGTACGTAAATATCTGGTTTTGACTGTAAAACCAATACTGTTTAATTCCTGCATAATAACTGCATGCAGGTACAAACCTCGACAACATACTGAAATCAATAACTCCTTTAACCTGGACTGTGGCCTCTCGTCGCCTCCCAGCCCCTCTGCCCTAGTCCTGGTCGGAGAAGTGGAGCGCACGGTCCTGGCCCTAGCATAAATATTAGCTGAAGGTCACGGTCACAGAGCTCACACAGGGCTACGCATAATCACCAACCAAGTCTCCTACTTAGTCTCCTTACTTCACGCGGCCCCTCTGTCGCATTACTGCCCACTGACTAAACACTTCAGCCGCAGCGCTCCCCCAAACCACTGACACAGCTAACCTTGAAGGGTTAAAAGCCCGAGGCGACGAACCGCTTCCGACACCAATTTGGGCTTCGTGTTACGTTATGACACCACCTCGTTAGCGTCTCGCAGGCTCTAGCCTACATTTCCAGGGTTATCCGCGAATCCGTTTCTACGTTAGGCTTAAACGGGCGCAGCTGTATTCCGAGCCGCATTGTCGGAGATGAAAAACTGCCATTATAATATCCAACTGGAAAAAAAAAAAAAAAAAAAATGCTTTAAATTCAGACGCCTGCCTCGCAGATTTGTTCGACATTATCCCGAGATGAAACGCGGGCTGGTAAGAAAGGAGGGAGATAAAGGAGCGAAAAGGCATGTTATGTCTCCGTTGAATTTCATCTTTAATAGACTCTATGGCTGCCCCCCTTTTATTCCTCCTACTTTACCCACACAGCCTTGTTCCTTAAGTCAGCCGGCCTATTACTCCCTCTACGTGATTCTGCACCCACTCAGCACAGATGCACATTTAAACCCCCGTGGAGGCTTGCAGTAAAATGGTACTTAACTGCTTACTCGATTCTTTCACTCCCTTTCCTATTGGATCCTGCTCTCGCTTTACGCTGCGCAAACTCTTAAAGCCTCGGCGTCGATGCCTCGGATTCCCCGTAAGATCTCTTCAAAAACTCTTCCTCCTCTCCGGCGGTTTTTTGACAACTAGTCTCGAGCCTCGAGGTCAGCGGCAGAAGACTCAGATTGCTTCTGTTGTGAGAAAAGTTCCTCCCTGCTTCTGTCTGTCGGAGCGTTTACGCTTACACTGCCGTCGAAAAGTATAGCTTCGATTTTTTTCTTTCTCCGTATTTTATCACCATACCAGCACAAACCTTAAAGTATTTCATTGGAGTGTCATGGCGTAGACCAGCAGAACATTGTGTGTAATTGTAAAGGGAAATGAAAATTACACATTGCATTCAACATTTACTGCAAATTAAGAAATGTGTTTGCAATGCGTTTGAAGGCCTCGGGTTGATTAGACCACACTGTTCAATGTCAGATTTATCCACTTGTAATATTTTAAAGGCAACTAATTTGACAAAAGTGCTTCCCGATTCAAACAAACAATGATATAAATACCAGAATCAAACATTTTGACCTGCTGATTTCATGATTCTGTGATCAGATCACTGCAGAGACTGCAGGAGTGTGTCATTCCACAAAGTTGAGGCAGCCACAGCGAAAGCTTGACCCAATCTATGTTTCACTCCTGATCTCATCATGCCTGTGTTTAACAGAGACTAGAGGGTTTGGTGAAAGTTGATGGGGAGGTGGATGGAGCAACAAACCAGCACAATCCTGAAAGAAAACAGCAAAAGATTTGAGACTCTGAACATCCAGCCGGAGCTACAATGTGATGGTTTAACATGTGTTTGGATGGTCCATCCCTACACGCAATGAAGAACACGTGACTAAATTTGAAAAACGGGTAGCTGGGACATGCTAAGCTTTGAGATTTCCTCCTTTTGCAAGCGAGGCAAAAACTTTATCCTTTGTTTTTGAAACACGCCTCAAAGGACTTGGGAGTTTTCACTGCAGCCAGAGGTGTTTTTACAAATGATCCTCTCAGGGGGACAGAAACAAACGTGCGAAACTCTCTTCAGTTTTGTATGTGCATAAAAATAAGGAAAACTGGGACTTGTAATATTGTTTAATCTCCTGCAATACTATTTGTTGGTCTATCAGGAAAAAATGCCATTAAAACACATTTAAGTTTGCAACGGTAAGCAGTCCAAACGTGTTGGGTGATTAAGAGGTATTAACGAGCAGTAGAACTCAAATAAAATGTTTAATCGAGTTCATTTCAGGGTCTGTAATTAGTTAATTATATCTATTCGAAAACTATACATCAACAAAATAGGCAGTAGGTTCGAAAAGCTTTTTTGGTGCTAAATTATTGAATAAGTAGATATATGAGGTAAACAACAAAGACATTTTAGGTTCATGTATTTCCTATAATAGACAATAATAATCTTTCCCAGAGTACAATCAGATTATGTTTGAAGCAAATTTTAACCCCCAGTGGGGCAAGAGAAGCAGATTTGTTGTCCATTGTTATTGTTTTGGGACTGTGCGTCAGATTTACGGGTGTACAAGAAACACAGTTCAAAGGTTCCGGCTTTTTTGTATAGAAAAAAAGAAAAAAAGAAAAGAAAATGTGATTAACTGCATTAAAAATATATATATATACATATTAAAATTATGTAATTAATCAAAATTAGCACATTAACCCCAGTATTAATACTTTAGAAAAGTACTGTATGTCATTCCTTTACTCTATTTTATTTAACCCTGCTCTTATTTTTTTCTTTTACCTTATTTCACCCCAGCATCCCTCCTTTGTCCAGTGTAGTAATGTCTCTCTTCCACCTTGTTACCCACACACACACACACACACACACGCCACCCCGCAGCCCTCCCTCCTTCCCTCCCTCTCCTCTGCGTTGAAGTCACTCTCTAATTGCTGTCTCCCCCCCTGCTATGCTTGGACCCAGAGGCTAAATGATTTCTACAGGGAGAATGGAAGCACATGAAAACAGAGATATTTGCAGAGCGACTTGCCTTTTTTATTATTATTGATGAGCTGCTTGTCAGGAGGTGTGTGTGTTTACAGTCAGTTTGGCCCACCTATTGGCACCATCATACAGGGTTTTTCCCCCCCCCCCCCCCCCTCATTCTTTGCAGCTCTCGCTTTCCTGCAGTTTCGTAAGCCACCCTTTTATCCGAGGTGG